TGAAAAACAATTTGCAATGTCCCTTTTAGTAATAGAGTATCTATTTCTATGTATTGTTTAGTGGAGATCATAGTGTGTCCACCACAGGCAAATGTTACTTTTACTCTCCAAACACATCAAAAGGGGAAGAGGAGGAAGTAGGCATGAAGAAACATTTAAGGGGCATGAAGAAACATTTAAGGGCCAAATACATACTCTATCTCTTGAAACCTATTGATTTGGAAAGTCAAAGTGGAGAAATGGAACTATTACTGATATAAAGTAAAGCTAAGGCATACAGAGAAAAAGGCACTAAAATTTTCAATAACATTTAAGCAATCTTAAAATTCAAATAAATATGACCATTAACATTTGTAACAAAAGTCAAGCTTAATTAAAAAACAAAAACAAGTCTCAAGAAATTGTTCTCATCTTAGCATAAATAGCACTTGCGACAGAGTTCAATTGCTAACAAATGTTCTCGGTGTCTTAATTTAAACTACACACAGTAACACAGAAGTCTTTTTTTCTTCAAAGAAACGTCTGGAAAAGCACTGTGTTATGGAATAAATGCTCCCCCCATCACTTAGAGAGGGGTTCCTGAGAGAAAGACAGTCTGACCTATGGGGATCCCTCCAATTTGAGGAAACTGACTTTAATCAGTTATTAACTTGTTATTAAGAACATTTGTTTCCAATAGCCAATGGTTACCCAAAATTGCTCCTCCCACCCTCATTCTAAAGCATCACTGCTGAACTTTCCGGGTTAAAATATGCCATAAAAATAAATAAATATCTAATTTTCCTTCTGTCCTCTTCAACTGTGACTTCCTTAAGGACAGGTTGATTTGGTACCAAACATATGTAAGTCACACTTATTGAATAAGCAAATGAAAAGAACAATCTATTTCTCTTCAATGAGGGGGTTACTATCCTTGAATGACACCAGGGGATTGCTATAGTGAACTTGTGGTTGCTAGAACCCACATGAAGTCATTGGCATACATTCTGCTGTGGGCCAAAGAGTTCACACGTGGCAAATCTTCTGGCTTTCATGTTCACGCTAGTCTACTTTCTATAAGATACTTATGATTGGTCTTGTTTTCTTCGTGTGACTTCACCTAACTCATAAACCTTTATTTCAGAGTTTATGAAACTAACTAAGAACCAGGCTGAACAGAACAGGAATAGCACAGAGTTACTCTATAGAAATAATTTTGCTTTCTTATGTAGCTCCTATTAGAAATAGGGTAACACTCTCGCAAATGAAAGGCAATTCAATTTTCTCAGAATTAAAATGTTTAGTTCTTCTTGTACAGTTCAGTATGTGCATTAATATTTAAGTCCCTCATATATATTATGAAGGTTGACTGTGTTTCTTAAAACTTTGTAAGATAATAGCCTTTAACCATTTTTAAAGTTAGAAACATGATTGCAAATGAAGACACACTGAAAATTTAAGAGTGTGCATACTTTTAAATATGTTTTAAAGAATTACCAGCCTATCAAAATTTTCATCCATCATTATCATGTTTTCCAACCCTGTAATTCATTCTGCTTCATTTGCAAAACTAGATTTGGTCCAAGACTGAGTTGTGCCACTGGGAATCTCTCAAGGCCTCAGAAGAAAGATGCATCCTGCAAAACACGCATGGCCTGCCAGGGAATGTTCTCCAGCACACAAAGGTGGCCAGTGTGGGAAGCAGAGAATGCTGAAAGGCACAAAACCAACAGTCTGGCCATTTCCAGCCTCAGCAAAGAAACATTACAGTACATATGAATCAAGTGTCCATTCAAAAAACAAAACCAATTTTGTATTCTGAAATAACTCAAATTCCATTTGTTGGCCCACACCATTAATAGGAAAAGAAATATATTTAGCCTCCTTGAAATAAGGCGCTTCCCTGCAAATTTTTATTTGTAATCTACTTTTGGTTTTCCAGATCTTCCACTCTCACCTTCAAGCAGTTATATTCTTGTAGTTTTTATGCATTTTAACTTTTATTGTGATTTTTGATACCACCACAATGTTTGAAAATTTTAAATTCAGACACATTTTACATAATTCTGTAAACTACTAGTCTATTTTAAAATCTTTTTACATGAAGAACATTACTTTACCATGATTAATGTTTCTTTTTATTTCTTATATAGCAAAGGTCTTCTACAGCAATATTAGTTTCTTTTCAGATGCATTCATTTTGTATAGCAGTAAGAGGAAAAAAATAGACTGCAAAATGAAAATAATTTTGCTGTGTATTTCACAGTCTTCCAAGACTTCTCTGCCCAACCAGAAAATAGAGTCAGAGAGAAATCATAACCATGGACAAACATAAAATGACAGAATGGGTTATTAGTATACTACCAGGATCTTGCTTAAGCAGAAGAGATCCTCTTAACTCATGTAAGGAATTATAAAAGGTCCACAAACTTGAAGATTATGTTCTAGCACAAGGTTTGGCTGTTATTTTGCCAACAGGGAAGGGCACTTGTATCTTGTTCTTCTTTGCCAGTTGCTTCCTTTTACTATGAGTGTGAAAGGAAGTTTGACTTTTTATGCTTTGACTTCCTCTCAAACTTCAAAGATTCCTATGGGGAATGTTACCTTGGACCCTGATACAATAAGCCAAGAGCTAACTAACTTTAGAAATAGTATGTTGAAAGAATCTCTAAAAAAACACACCTTTTGGCAGAAATAAAAATACCTGAGTCCTTTATAAGGAGCCTTGGTGGCACAGTGGTTAATCGCTCAGCTGCTGACTGAAAGGTTGGTGGTTCAAACCCACCATCTGCTCCACAGGAGAAAGATGTGGCAGTTGGCGTCTGCAAAGAATACAGCCTTGGAAACCCTAGGGGGAACTCTGGCCTAGTCTGTAGGCTCACTGTGAATCAGAAATGACTAAACAGCAATGGATTTGGTTTTATTTTAAAGTCCCTTATGAAACCCATGAAAGGTATCATATTTAGGGCCCTCAGGAAGACTATTATTTTTTTAGATTTTTAAAAAATAAAATACTTTAATAACTTGCTTTAATACGAAAAAAAAAAAAACCCAGTGCAAGTTGCTAAATTATTGATATCACTCATGTTTTTCCAGAACACAATCCCATGAACGAAAGTAGGACCTTTTCCCAGCTGTCTCTATTTTAGAATCTTGTTCTTAAAGTTCTTGGTGGATACACTATAGCCAGCAGTTTTTGAACCTTCCCATTCATACTTTTTTTGTAAAACATGCTTTTAATTTTTCACAATTAGAAGTTGGTGGTATGGGGAAGGAGATATCGGTGGTTGAATTCAATAGAAGCCCCAGTGGCACAGCGGTCAAAAGCACTTGGAGACTGACCAAACTCCACTTCTGAAAAGACTGGCAACCTTGGAAATCCCATGTTCTATGCTGTCGTATCCAGTCACTATGAGTCAGAACTGAGAAGGTTTGGTTTGAGATTTGAGTTCAGTAGACACACAGTTCAAATTAATTTTGTTTCTAAAATGGAAGAACTACTGATTTGGATACAATAGACAGGTTTGGTAGTTAATGGATTGCTATTTACTACTTGTTGAGATCCCTCATCCTTGGCTTACAGTAATGGTAGTGAAAGACTCACTTTTTAATTACACCCTTTCTCTTTGCAATTTACTTTTTGCTGAGAACCTCCTCACTAGATGGTTATTTTCAGCTTATAAATGGAACTGGTCTTTACATCAGGGTTCCTCAACTTCTAAATTACTGACATTCGGGGCAGGACAGTTTGTTCTTGGGCCTGTTGTTGTGTAATATACAATGTTTAAAAGGATTTCTGACCTCTACCCACAAGATGCCAACAGCAACACCCCAGTTATGGCAACAAAAAATGACTCCAGGCATGGCCAAATGGATAGAAAAATTACCCCCCTTCTCCTCTCACTGAAGCCATCATTTTGCTGGTTTTTGAGGTCCTTCATTATTTTATATTCCCAAGCACAAGGGCACTATTTCCTGACACTAGCTTTAGAAAGTGGATTCTCTGGGAAGAACTCTTATGTCTTAAAGAATATTTATTATCTGTGAGGAATTAAGAGCCAGAAGTAGGAAAATAGTACACATGATTTCATTGGTTTCTTTCCCTTGATTTTGAAACTTTTCCCTGTAAATAAAGAACATGATTTAAAACCTACAAAACTTGTCATTTTTTTCATTACTTCTATTAACTGGCAGTGCATTCCCTTCTACTTCTCACATTATTTAATGAGCGCAGTGTCCTTTTATACCGTATTCTGTGGACGTCCCATGAAACAGCTTCAAAATAAAATAGCATCCTTTTGTTGTTGTTGTTAAGCAAATAACCATTCCTTAAGGTTTATAAATTCCAGTAACATGGATCTAGTATAGTATATTTGCTTATTATTACTAGTTATGATTAATAACTAAGCATACCTCTTAGAGATTCATAGTATCTATTAAGATTCCTACTAAGCAAAAGGCTTGGTAGACAGAGGCTAGAATATAAGGAAAATAGATATGAGACGAGGCTAGGATTTAAGGAAAATATTCTTTGAGTACCTATCCTAAACACAAGTTCAGGACTCCACCCCGAAAATGGGGATCTATTTTAAATATTAACACTAAAAGCTACAAATTATATAGAACTTTCTTTTCCTTGTTTTTCCATTTCTCCCCATCACCACAAATATGTCAGTGACATAAGACTCTAAAATCGTTAGGCATTACAAATTATTTGTTTTCATAAGAAAGAGTGAATATGTACTAAAGTGCTTTATCTTTCTGAACCACATCAGTACATTATAAAAAACAAAAAACAAAAACCGAAAGTTTCAAGTTCTTGTAAGGGAACAAAAAGATTATAAAAAATTTAGGCTACTGCTATTATTAAAGAAATTTAACCAAGAATCAAGAGAAATATGTTCCCTCTTGTCTTTTTCCTTTTTGTTCACATCTCTCTTTTTTATAAAATAGAAAAGTGCAATCAGAGAGGTGACTGAAACATGGTAGCAGGGTAGAGGCAGAGGAAATGCTACTGGCTGCTAATGATAATGTACAAACATGTGTCTCAAGAGTTCATCAGCCGAGGGTCTCAGTTTGGCCTCCACAAAAATCCGTTTGAGGAAATCCCGGGTATAGTCTGAAACCTGGGGTGGCAGCTTTGGGTTTGTTGGCTGGGTAGCAATTTTAAAGATGGCAGCCATTGCTTCAAATTCAGCCCAAGGAGGCTTTTCAGTTAGCATTTCTACCACAGTGCAGCCCACACTCCTGAAAAGAAAGGAAATACATTACACAAATAGTAACAAAATGAGAAATGAGAGCGAGATGCCTCTAAACATATAATTACTATATATATTAGTATGTAAGCCGAGTTTTTCAGCATATTTTTAATGTCGTTTTTGTGGTAAAATTAGGTGCCTCGGATGATATTCGGGTTGGCTTATAATCAAGTATAGATGGTAAATACAATTTGATTTCAAGTCCAACAACTTACTGAAAGTTGCAGTTATATAAAAAAGTTTTAAAAAAAGAAAAGTTTTAATTTAAATATAAAAAGTAAACAATGATTAAATGACTATTATCTAACTGAAATAGTTAGGAAAATAATATAACATACTTTAGTTTTCTAAAATTCTCTTAGCTGACATTAGATATAATTTTTGTCTTTATCACACTAAGAATACAAGCATTAGAAATTCTTTGTTGCTTTTAGGTTGCCTAAAATGAACATCTAATTTTTTTTTTTTTTCAGGAAGAGATGAGCCAGTCAGGGTGCAGTATAGCACCGACAAAACATACAACTTTCCTCTAGTTCTTTAATGCTTCCTCCCC